TATGGTTATTATATGCACAAAATCATACTGCATAAACAACAGTATGTTGGGTGTGTCTGAGAGGTCATTTAATAGGTTCCATTTTCTCTATTGTATGTAATTCCAATGATGAATTCATTATTTTACTGTAATATTTGATGCTTATTAATTAATTATTAGGTTAAATTGTTTATTGACTTTATTAATTGTTGATTTGTGTTGTGTTTTGATAAAAAAGAATTAAATCAAGTAAGCCATGTCCATTGTGGGAACTGCCGGACAACACTCATGTATCCTTACGGAGCTCCCTCAGTCAAATGTGCAATTTGTCACTTTATTACTAATGTCACTGTAAGTATTCATTCATACAATCTATTCAATTTCACCTCATTTAGAAGTATCTAACAGTAGCATGCATGAATGAAAATCTTGGAAATATGATGCAAATAATGTTTTGCATTTTATGTAATATTATTTGTACCATCTGATTAATGGCTTCTGCTTCTTGTTCTGTAGATGACCAATGAAAGGCTTCGCATTCCTGTATTGAGATCAAATGGAACAGTACCTTCTAATTCATCGGTATGCTTTTCTCTTTTTCTTTTGGTGATTCCGTGAGATCAGATGTATTGTTATGTTCTTGTTATGATATTCATATCTATTACATGATTCTGTTGCCTGCAGTCAATGCCTCTTTCTCATACCCAAACTATCATAGTACAAAATCCAATGACTGTTGATTCCACTGGCAAATTGGTATTTACTATTGCTTTTCTTTTTTCATTAGTTTTGGATCCATATTTGACTGGAGTATGTTTTTAGTATAGCCTTTTTTTTTTAATTCCTACTTGAAGGTTATTCATTTTTAATTCTTATATACTACTTGAAGCCACTATTTTTTTTTAATTATCCCTCGTTGGTGACTGAAAACATTTTTTTAAAATAATTTTTTAGGAGTAAAATAAATAAATTTAAATAGACTGATTTAAAAAATTGTGTTAAGGGACTAGAAGGATACTTAAACTTATTTTTATTTTTTTTTTACTTCGTATTACCATTTTTTTTTACTTATAAGAATTTTATGTCACAGGTGAACAGTGTTGTTGTGGGCATTACAACAGATAAGAAAAGATACTTATCAGATTAAACCGTTACATAAAAGTACAAAGGGAAAACATTATTTGACTCACCATCAGCTGCTGGTTCCTGAAGATTTGTTCTTGTATGTGAAATTGCAGCAATTAATAGAAGTTAATATGTTTATACAATACGAGTTTTGGATGATTAAATTTGTCTTTTATGTGATTGCCAAGGTCCACCTTTTGCTGCAGTTGTATCATAAGGTCTTTCATATCTCGAATTATAAGTCCTAGATGAATATTTGATGGTTCCTCATCTTTTGTGACTTGATAAGAAAACTCAGTTATATGTTGTTAATAATATGAAGTGTTTTATATTATGCAAGCATATATTATATAGCCTGATAAAAGTGTCCAGAGTCAACTGGCGTAGAAATCCAGTATCATCGTGGCTGTCCACTGTGTATGACTGATGAAATATAGCAAAATCTATGTATGACATACTTTTCTATGTTTGTAATAAAGGGAGGGTGTCTAGAAATTGAGTTGTTAAAAAAATTTATAGACTTATTATTGTTCCTGCGTAAGAACACTCGTCTCCTTACTCCTTAAGCTGCCTTTGAGTCCTTCCGAACCTTCCGTGCCG